CCAGACGGCCGAGCCCGCGCACAGCCTGAGCCTCCTTGGGCTTGCGCCCCGCCCACGCAGGCGCGGGGAGTCCCTTTGTCCTTCCGGCCACGGACCTGCGTGACGTCACCCTGGCGCCCTGCTGGCCAGAGAGGGGCCCGGCGGGTGGGGCGCCCTCTGCCCCGTGGAGGGTGGCGGGGCGAGCGGCTCGTGTCTGAGTCGGGTCACAGGAGAACCTTGCCTCCGGTTGACCTGCTGTCCCCATGTGGTCTCTGGCCAGCAGGCAGGGCCCAGGGGCCAGGGCGCCAGGTGTGCAGTGGACGCTGGGGCGCTGGCGGGCATCACGGCCTCGGCCCTCAGCCCGCTTCCACGGGCACCGGCTCTGGGGCTCGGCGGCGTGAGGGGCCCATCGCGGCCTGGCCTCTCCGGGTGGCCCTCGGCGGCCCTCAAAACGGGGACCTCTCCCCGTCTGAGCAGCGGCGAGAGCGCGCCAGAGGGACGCCCGAGGCTGGACGTGGAGGGAGGCTCAGAGCCAAGCAGGCTGCATGGAGCCCTCCGTGCCGGCCCCTTGTCCCGGGTCACCGCGGGCAGGCGGCTCCCCCAATGAGCCCAGGTGCCCGGTGGGCTCTCCGCCGGCCGGTCCTGGGCCCCCAGGCGGGCGGGTGGGGAGCTGGCCCGGCCCAGTTAATCTCTCCCCTCCCCAGCGCCTCCACGCTACCGAGCTGATGTTACCCCGCCACGCTGAAGTCAGAGCTCAGCTGGGTGAAAAGCTGACCCGGCGACTGGAGCCGCCCACCGGGCTCGGCCAAGTCAAACCCAACAGCATCCGGGTTTCATTTTCAATGTAACATTTCTTATTTTATTGGAAAAAGCTGGTATTAACATATTTATAATTTTATTCAACAGTTGGATAGTTTGTGAGACACCAAAGGAAGTAAGAATGCACCTATGAGTCACAGTCCAAGATGATCCCTTCTAGTCTGCCGGCTCACCCCACGCCGCCGGCGTGGCCCTCGGGGGCAGGAAGGGTCAGCACAGGAGCCACCCGCAGCCTCAGGGCGGCGGCCGGACTGCCACGCCAGACCCGCGGGAGCAGAAGGTCTCAGCGGGAGGAAGCAGTCTGTGACCTTTTACTGGCCTTCTGCCAGGGCCGGCGTGCCCCCCACATCTCCGTCCACACGCGTCCACTGCTCACCGCTGCTCCGGAGAGGTCACGTCCCGGGACTCAGAGACATGCTGCTGTGGGGTCTTTCGCCCCCTTCTTTTTCACGCTGTGGCTCGGCACCGAAAGTCTCCAGCAGAAGGACGGCCCAGGCCCGCACGGGGCGGCCCTGGGAATGCGGAGTAAGACTTGTACTTGGCAGCGGGTAAATGCTGAACAGTAAACTTGAGCTGCAGACACGCCTCCCCTCTGCGCTGGCCTCCGGGGGCCCGGGGGGGCCAAGCATCCCCGGACGGCCGCCGAGGCCCTCCAGGCGGATCTCGGCGCCACAAGGTTTCTAGACAATCCACCACCTTCTTGAGCGTCTTTACACAGCGGAAAGAAAGGAATCCAATCCCGTGATGGTTACGTTTAATTAGAGTAGATATGGACATATAATACTGTCCAGGTCACCTGGATTCTACAACGATGTGTAAACGAACATTCTTCATTCACATATTAAAAAAAAATCAATGGACCCATTTCCTCGTGTGAATATTGTATGGCCGGAAGTGAGGGCACATGCTTTGTGCTTTTACACACACAAAAGTATATGGTTATCTGTGGAGGAAAGTCTTGGGTGGGCCTGTTTCCTGGGTTAGGTCACACTTGTAAAAAAGGTTGGATTCTGTCAGGGCCTCTGCACTCTGTTTGCTGAATCAAAATGCAAAGCCACGTGGTTGTGCTGCAATTCCAGGGGCAAAGGGTGGGTGTGGTGGTGGGCTTGCTGCGTGGGCATGGCTGCGTGGGCATGGCTGTGTGGGCGTGGCTGCGGTGGGCGTGGCTGCGTGGACATGACTGTGGGCGTGGCTGTGGCGGTCAGGTCTGACAGCGGGGGAGGGACTAATGTGGACAACGACCTTCTCTGTAGTCCTCAGGGAAGTGTCCTCTGGGGTCCTGCAGTCATGAAAGAAATGTATCTGAAAATGGCAATAACATGCAACTTTCTCGTGGAGGCAGTTCGGTGCCCCGGGAGGCGCAGGGCGCACAGGTGGGGTGAGGCAAGGGCACTTCCTGAAGCCACCGGCCAGGCAAGGAGTCGGCAGGCCTTCTCCATCTGGGTCTGGTTCTCCCTCATCACAGGCCACCTGTCCTGCTTCAGCAGATGAGATGCTTCCGGACCCTCCCGGGCGAGAGCGTCGCCTTCGTAAGCACCACCAGCGTGGCGTGTGGAAAGCACCTGAGGCAGACCGGAGGGTTCCTGCCTGCCCAGCCCGTGGCCGCGCCATGGCGGGGCATCTCCCTTCGGGCCGCGGCTTCGCGTGGACACCGTGGGGACGAAGGAGCCTCCCGCTCATCCCGGCATGGACGGCCTGGCGCGGGCAGCGCTTGGTGCTGTGGAGGGGCAGACAGACACCGGCCTCGCGGGCCACGATGAGGGCGCAGAGCAATCTCGGGGTCGGCCTGAGGTCCCGGGAGAGCCCGGCGGGGCAGGCGCGGGCTCAGGTCCATGTGCCCAGGGGGCTGGGCCCTGGCACCAGCGAACGTCCAGCACGGAGGGGAATGGTCAGAGTGACAGGCACACAGACTTCACCGCGTCCTCCCACCCGCTTAAGGACCTGGGGTGTCGGACCACGTCGGCAGCACCCCACGAGGGCCTGACCACGTCGGCAGCACCCCACGAGGGCCTGCTCCCCTAGGTTCTCAGCACGAGTCGGCTCGCGCCCCGAGGGCCTCGGCACGGGAGTGGGGTCGGTTCCCTCGACGGCCGCAGGACCCCCAGCCGGCTGCCCGCGAGCCCCAAAGGGGCGCAGGCGGGACATGAGCCCACCGTCCGGTCCCCAGGAGAGCGGCCACCGGCGCACGGCCACCACCCTAGCCAGGCGGTGGAGACCACCGGTCAAGCGGAGGAAGAAGAGACCCCTGAACTCAAGGTCGACAGTGGCGTCCAGTTCCGGCTCTGCGGCCCGGGATCCTTCGGTGGGGGGGCCGCGCCCCCAGCCATCCTCGCGGCCAGGCCGTCCTGCGCCCGGCCGGGGAGCCGCGGGCTGGACGCCTAGTGCATCTCGGAGTTCACCTTGTCCTGGAAGATGTACAGGTTGTTGGTGGCCGCGATGGCGATGATGTTCTCGGCCGGGTGCCAGGCCGTGTGCAGGATCTTCTTGGTGAAGTCCAGGCTGTCCACGCTGATGTCGTCCCTCCGGCGCTTGCTGCCCACGCACACACGGCGTGGCTTGAGCACGGCCCGGGGCTTGCTGCTCTCCCGGGAGGCCTCCAGCGTCACGTCCCTCTTGGTGTTGCGGTCGAACATGCGGAAGAAGTTGTTGTAGGCGCCGGTCATGATGACGCTGCGGGGAGAGGCGGGCGGGCGTCAGGGGCCGGGGGAGGGGCCCGGCCCTCACCGGCCGCCCCGGCCCACCCCGCCCGGGCACCTGTCCGAGAACAGGAGGCCGTCACAGGTAGACCCGCCCCGCCGAGGTCTCGCAGCTCTGACTGCAACAGGGAGACGTCAAAAGCAGGCGAG